GGAAACCTTCCTTTAAGAGGCAGAAACCTCGAGCAGAACCATGACTCAGGGTGGGCGGCCGAGAGAGAGAGAGATACACGACGAGAGAGAGAGAGAGAAAGAGAGGGAGAGAGAGAGAGGAGAAAGAGAGAGACACGACGAGAGAGAGAGAGAGAGAGAGAGAGAAGAGAAAGAGAGAGAAAGAGAGGGAGAGAGGAGAGGGAGAAAGAGAGAGACACGACGAGAGAGAGAGAGAGAGAGAGAGAGAGAGAAGAGAGAGAGAAAGAGAGGGAGAGAGAGAGAGGGAGAAAGAGAGAGACACGAGAGAGAGAGGAGGAGAGAGACACGAGAGAGAGAGAGGGAGAAGAGAGGAGAGAGAGAGAGAGAGAAGAGAGGAGAGAAGAGAGAGAGAGAGAGAGAGAGGAGAGCCTACACAATATACACACAGAGGTACAGACAGTGAAGGTAATGTTGCTATAGACTAAATGAAAATGGTACAGATATTTATAATAGTGTTAATGGTAACATCGTAATGTTAATGATTATAACAATAATAATAATAGACTAGCAACATAGTCGTTGCAGCAGAGGGTGTCGAGCAGGAACACGGGGGCAGCAGGTGACCCGCAACCACAGATCCAGACTCCACAGCTCCAGAGCCAGAAACCTGCAGGAAGTGATAGGAGAGAGGAGAGAGACGAGAAAGCACAAGACTACCAGAAAGGGGAGAAGTTGTGTTAGTAACATGCAATAATGGGATGAGGTTGCATACAGAGGGAGAGAAAGTAGAGGAGAGAGGAGCTCAGTGCATCATGGGAAATCCCCCGGCAGTCTAGGCCTATAGCAGCATAACTAAGGGATGGTTCAGGACTACCTGAGCCAGCCCTAACTATAAGCTTTATCAAAGAGGAAAGTCTTAAGCCTACTCTTAAATGTGGAGATGGTGTCTGCCTCCTGAACCCAAACTGGAACCTGGTTCCACAGGAGAGGAGCTTGATAGCTGAACGCTCTGGCTCCTAGTCTACTTTTGGAGACTCTAGGAACCACAAGTAACCCTGCATTCTGGGAGCGCAGTGCTCTGGTGGGGTAGTAAGGTACTATGAGCTCTTTAAGATAAGATGGTGCCTGACCATTAAGAGCTTTGTAGGTAAGAAGAATGATTTTAAATTCTATTCTGGATTTTACTGGAAGCCAATGCAGAGAAGCTAAGACAGGAGAAATGTGATCTCTTTTCCTGGTTCCTGTCAGAACACGTGCTGCAGCATTCTGGATCAGCTGAAGAGTCTTAATGGACTTTTTCGAGCAGCCTGATAATAAGGAATTGCAGTAATCCAGCCTAGAAGTAACAAATGCATGGACTAGTTTTTCTGCATCATTTTTAGACAGGATGTTCCTGATTTTCGCAATATTACGTAGGTGAAAAAAGGCGGTCCTTGAAATTTGCTTAATGTGAGACTTAAACGACATGTCCTGATCAAAGATAACTCCAAGATTCCTCACAGTGGTGCTGGAGGCCAGGCGATGCCATCCAGGGAAACTATATCTTTAGATAATGCGTCACGGAGGTGCTTAGGCCCCAGAGCAATAACTTCAGTTTTATCTGAGTTTAACATGAGAAAATTACAGGTCATCCAGGTTTTAACATCCTGAAGGCACATTTGAAGTTTAGCTAACTGATGAGTTTCATCTGGCTTGATCGATAGATATAACTGAGTATCATCTGCATAACAATGAAAGCTTATGGAATGTTTCCTGATAATATTGCCTAAAGGAAGCATATATAAAGTGAAGAGGATTGGTCCAAGGACAGATCCTTGAGGAACTCCATGTAACTTTGGCGTGCATGGAGGACTCATCGTTAACATGTACAAACTGAAATCGATCTGATAAATAGGACTTAAACCAGCTTAGAGCGGTTCCTTTAATGCCAATGAAATGTTCCAGTCTCTGCAATAGGATCTGATGGTCAATGGTATCAAATGCAGCACTAAGATCTAATAAAACCAGTACAGAGACAAGTCCTTTGTCTGATGCAATAAGGAGGTCATTAGTAATTTTCACCAGTGCTGTCTCTGTGCTATGATGAGCTCTAAATCCTGACTGAAAATCCTCAAATAAACTATTGCTCTAGAAAGTCACACAGCTGTTAGCAACTGCTTTCTCCAGAACCTTAGAGAGAAATGGAAGGTTAGATATAGGTCTATAGTTGGCTAAAACATCCGGATCAAGTTTGGGCTTTTTCAGAAGAGGTTTAATTACAGCTACTTTAAAGTACTGTGGTACATAGCCTGTTGATAAAGATAGATTGATCATATCTAGTATAGAGGTGCTGACTAAGGGTAAAACATCTTTAAGCAGCCTAGTCGGGATGGGGTCTAAGAGGCAGGTTGATGGTTTAGATGAAGAAATTATTGAAGTTAGTTGGTAAAGTTGAGGGAAGCAAAACAGTCTAAACATATATCTGGTTCTACAGCTGTTTCTAAGGTTCCTGAGTTAAGAGATAAGTCGGTGCCATTGAGGGCAGGTCTTGGTGAATTTTGTCTCTAATAGCTAGATTTTATCATTAAAGAAGCTCATGAAATCGTAACTACTGAGAGCTATGGGAATACTTGGCTCAATAGAGCTGTGACTCTCTGTCAGCCTGGCTACAGTGCTGAAAAGAAACCTGGGGTTGTTCCTATTTTCCTCTATTAATGACGAGTAGTACGCTGCTCTGGCATTACGGAGGGCCTTCCTATAAGTTTTAAGACTATCTTGCCAAATTAAACGAGAATTTTCCACTTTGGTGGAACGCCAATTCCTCTCAAGTTTCCGCGATATTTGCTTTAATTTGCGAGTTTCAGTATTATACCATGGAGCTAACCGTCTTTGTTTTAGTATTTTCTTTTTTAGAGGGGCTACAGAGTCGAGTGTCATTCGCAGCGAGCCTGCAGCAATATCAACAAGATGATCGATTTGGGAGGGACTGAAATTAGCATAGGAGTCCTCCGTTACTTTGTGACTTGATAATGAATTTAGAGCTGATGGAATCGCATCCTTAAATTTAGCTACAGCACTATCAGACAGACATCTTGTAGTTCAGCAATACAAACTCAAAAGTTATCAAACAGTGGTCGGATAAAGAGGGATTCTGTGGGAACACCACTAAATGTTCAATTTCAATACCATACACCAAAACAAGGTCGAGGGTGTGGTTAAAACAGTGAGTCGGTTCATGAACACTCTGAGAGAAGCCAATGGAATCTAACAGAGAGATAACCGCAGTACTAAAGCTGTCATTCTCAACATCCACATGAATATTAAAATCCCTACAATAATAACTTTGTCCGTTTTAAGGACTAAAGTTGACAAAAACTCTGCAAATTCAGATAAGAATTCAGAATACGGGCAGGTGCTCGGTACACTACAACAAAAAGAATTGGTTGCAGTGATTTCCAACTTGGGTGCGAAAGACTAAGAACAAGACTTTCAAATGAGTTATAGTTTAGTTTAGGTTTAGAGCTGATTAGTAGGCTAGAGTCGAAGATAGCTGCAACTCCACCTCCTCGGCCTGTGCCTCGAGGAATGTGAGTATTAATATGACTGGGAGGGGTGGATTCATTTAGGCTAACATATTCTCCATCACCCAGCCAGGTTTCAGTAAGACCAAATAAATCAATATCATAATCTGATATTAGTTCATTTACTAGTACACCTTTAGAAGAGAGAGATCTGATGTTTAAGAGTCCACATTTAACTCTCCTATTCGTTTGCACTATTGCTCTTGTGGTTTTAATTTTTATGAGGTTTTTATGCACAGCTCCTCTTCTGTTTACCTTTTTAAATAATTTCGATGGTCGGGGGGCAGACACCGTCACTATAGGATTTTCACTAAGTAACTCCTGAAATGGAGGAGCAGAGAAGTGTGTTAGACTGCGACTCTGCGTAGGGTTTTGGGTGGGTAACTGCTGAAAAAGAAGGGCAGAGAAGTGTGTTAAACTGCGACTCTGCCTCCTGGTCTCAACTCTGGGTTGTCATGGATTTGGTCCACTAATAAACTTGGCCAGATTTCTAGAAATGAGAGCTGCTCCTTCCCAAGTGGGATGGATGCCGTCTCTCCGGATCAGACCAGGTCTTCCCCAGAAAGTCTGCCAATGATCAACAAAGCCCACATCGTTTGCTGGACACCACCTCGACAACCAGCGGCGGAATGACGACATGCGGCTATACATGTCATCACTGGTCAGATTTGGCAGGGGTCCAGAGAAAACTACGGTGTCCGACATTGTTTTTGCATATGTACACACCGACTCAACATTAATCTTAGTGACCTCCGATTGTCTATAAATAAACTACACTTATTACACGTACCATTACCGCTAAATGAGGCAGAGGAGTAACTAAACATCTGACACACCGAGCAGGAGAAAGTGGGAGAGAGAGAGGGAGAAGGAGAATCCATCGCTAGCTGCTAAGCTAAAGTCGCTAACGGCTAAGCTAAATTACTGTAGCGTCAGTTACCAAAACTTTAGAACAACTATGAGATTGAACAGCAGTCACTAAAAGATGGAAAGAACTGTGAGTGCTTAGGCAAAATTACTGTAAAGAATAAGTGTTTAGCGGACAGTTGGCCGCTGTAATCAAACAAATGTAACTGTTATTTAGCGAGAGCAACAACACGGTACCAACACACAAGCACCGGAAACGGAAATGAGTCGACACGCTTACCGCAATACGTCAGCAGTCAGGGAGCAGATGCACAGAATGCCCAAAAAGTGAAAAAAAAATAAAAATATTTAGCCTCAGCTTAACTTAGAATTTATTGCTAATTTGCAAAATAACAAATTACATTATACCTGCTAAACATGACCAGGCATTATCATTGTGAGCACATACCATTTAGCAACTACAGCATCACAGAGCTGCTAGTATGGCTCTAGACTCTAACATTTAGATCAGAGTGACAGGGTTACAGTTAACTCCCTGAGTCAGTCACTGTATTATATTTTTATTTGGAGACTGTTTCCTCCTGTATCTGACCGAAACAGCTGGACTCTCAGATCATCTGCCATTATGTAGTTTTGTTTGTTTGTAGGCTGTCAGGTTGTGAGATCACAGAGGAAGGTTGTGCTTCCCTGGCCTCAGCCCTGACCTCCAACCCCTCACATCTGAGAGAGCTGGACCTGAGCTACAATCATTTAGGAGACTCAGGAGTGAAGCAGAAGGATTCATACTGGAAACTGGAAACTCTCAGGTATGAAGAGGCCTGCTGCATCTACAGTCTGATAGAGGAGGTACTTTTGGTTAATGGTGGATATGAGAGTTACTTGACCAGTGACACATGCAGGAACACTTTTTCCTTTGCTCAGAACAGAAACACTGTTTGTTCAAACACTGTTTCTAAAAGGAGATCTTTGAGTAGGAGGTCTCCAATGACAACATCTCCAGGAACAAACATAATTATTCTGTGTTGGTAATAGCAGATGCAGTTTGGAGAGATCTCTAGTTTTTAAAGGTACAAGATGTAAGAATTTAAATATTTTGTTTTAGTTTCTTTTGGTTTAACACATTCAAAAATGTGCTAAAATCATTGACAGAATGAGAAGAAAAAGCACTTCTGATGTTGACAAAGATGTCTTTGTATTGTGTTATTATGCTAACCTGCTAGCCACGGCCTGTCCTGTGTTGTTATACCATTTTGTACCTTAAGAGGAGATAGTCTAGCTCATGTCTCCATCCCATACTTTCAGCTTGGAGATGTGTGAGAGTGGCGAGTTCACTCAAAAAAAAATTATCATGAATGGAAATATCATCATAGCATTTTGTAATTAAACTGTAAACTTTCAGAATTCAAGCTTCTCACTTCTATTGAACTACAACCTGCTTAATATACAATACACTTTATTTAAACAGAAACAAAATAAAACTCACCCAAAATGTCTTGGTAATGACCGGCTCTAGTTTGGAGGAAATAAAATGTTAAATGTTAAAGGCTATTTTCGATATTTTTAATCTAGGGCCCTGTTTTCACATTGAAATGACTAGTAGGCTGTGGAGGACTGGCTGCAAGAAGCCAAGAGTTACGCGTGAAGAGAGGAAGAATGGACAATGCCAATCCAAACCAATTATAGTTTTAGGTTGAAGGGGTGGCAATCAAGGGAGTCCTGGCACCAACACTAAAGTTCCAGCTCTTTTTACAGATGTTCCTGGACTTACATTTGGACATATTGTGTTTGTCAAAGTAGTTTTCCCCAAACTGTCATTAATTTTTGCTTTTAATGGTTTCAAACATGAAATGTGCAGCACAGTGGAGACAGAAGTGATCCTGACAGTAATTATTACTGCTGTAATATACATCATAGAGATCAGTTCAACAACAATCTATACACATAGACATTAAATGTTGCTGTTTCTATCAGAAAGAGGTTTTCTGACACTTTAGATGATCAAAAAAGAGTTTTTTGTTTGCAGATGTTTTCCTCCTCTTTCACACACCAACATCCTGTGGGTCAGTCTCAGTGTGCGAGAAGAGTAGCAGAGGTAAAGAGGTTTAGGGCTATCAGGGAGAAGCAGGCCACATGCACATATTATGTATATATGTATGAGAGGAATGTAACGTCCATGTTTGATGCTGCTCTGACCCTCCTCCTCCTTTCAGGGTGGAGCCTGCTGGAGTCCGATGGTTGAGACCAGGTCTGAGGAAGTGTAAGTGTGTTTTTCATTTGATTCATGAAAACATTCAACCATCTTCAGACTGTGACATCACTCATTCAAAGTGCCAATCAATGAACAGATGATAGATCAATAACTGCAGCTGGATTGTGTCTCGTTCTCTCATCAGATTCCTGTGAACTCACAATCGACACAAACACAGTAAACAGAAAGATCAAACTGTCTGACAACAACAGGAAGGCGACATATGTGAAGGAGGATCAGCCGTATCCTGATCATCCAGACAGGTTTGACTCCTGTCCTCAGCTGCTGTGTAGAGATGGTCTGACTGGTCGCTGTTACTGGGAGGTCGAGTGGAGAGGAAGAGTTGAAATATCAGTGAGTTACAGAGGAATCAGCAGGAGAGGAGACAGAGAAGACTTTATATTTGGATTGAATGCTCAGTCTTGGAATCTGGTCTGCTCTGATGATGGTTACTCTGTCTGGCACAATAAGAGTGCAATTTCCCCTTCCTCCTCTTCCTCCTCCTCCTCCTCCTCCTCTCTCTCTAACAGAGTAGGAGTCTATGTGGACTGTCCTGCTGGCTCTCTGTCCTTCTACAGAGTCTCCTCTGACACACTGATCCACCTCCACACCTTCAACACCACATTCACTGAACCTCTTTATCCTGGCTTTGCGTTCAGGGTCTCTTTATGTTCCTCAGTGTCTCTGTGTTCTTTGTAGGAGGGAGAGTCTCCTCCTGTTAAGCCTAGTATACACTGTACGATTTTAGAAACTTTGTACACTGCACTTAAGATTGCTTGAAAGCTCGAGGCAGGAAGAGGTGTCTTTGCTAGCCATAATGCTAACAAGTCAGAAATGTGTTGCCTTGATCATCTGTGCCATCCTGTGTGACATAACTTCTAAAAAAAGAGTGGTCTGGTGTATATGACAGCCAACCGGAGCAGATGATTCTCAGTGCCCCCTGTACACTGCACAGCAAAAAACGTCCAATGAAGCTGAAATTCAGGGGAAAAATTTTCCAAAGTTAGGTCATAAACAGTCTCAAATTGTAGAATGTATGCCCAGAGAAATATTCTCACTGCTGAACAGATCAGTTAAGTCTGTACAGAATCCCAGCTCTACAGAGCCCTTAAGGAAGCAGTGGCCGGATGTTTTTGGAGATACTACCTTGTTCTCACATTTTGAATAAATTGTGGCCATGAGATACTACTCATTCTGGACAGCACCGTGTATTTACAAACCTCCAAACCAGCCAGTATATATTATATACAGTATATAGTTTCATTTTATTAGTTTTTATTTATATTTTATATTACCGTATTTGAATACACACTACATTTAATTATATGTTAAGTTCTATGTGTAGCAAGGGCAGACTAGGGGGAAAAAAACAAGAAATTTGTCACAAGCGCTGGGTCTTTATAGTAGTGATGGCAAGTTCGACTCTTTCTCGTTCATTAAAATGAACTAATCTTTTTTTGTGTCATTTCATTCATTTTGTTGAACTAGGCTGGTTATTGTGGCGCAGAAGCCTTCTAGTAGCCCATTTAAAGGGAGCACCGTTCTCAAACACGGAAGGCTGCCTGGCTTGCTTTAATTGACAAAGTTTAATGCACAAATTTGCCTCTTGATAACTCTCAATCATTATTATATACACCCCTTGGGCCCACAACCAAATTCAAACCATGTGAAAACTACAGAAATATGTTGTCTATATGCATTCACCACTACTCCGGCTAAATCCTTCCATTCTGCAACAGCCTTTTCACCTGTTTAACCCAAAAATCTATTGATCCAGACTGTCCAGAACTCAGCTGCCAGGCTTTTAACCAGAACAAAGAAATATGACCACATTACTCCTGTTTTAGCTTCATTACACTGGCTCCCAGTTGTTTTAGAATTGACTTTAAAATTCTATTGATCACTTTTAAAGCTCTTCATGGCCTCTCGCCTTGTTATATTTCTGACCTTTTAGTCCCATACGCACCAGCACGTACCTTGAGATCCTCGGGCAGAGGTCTGTTGTCTGTTCCAGAGTCTCGACTGAAAACTAAAGGGGACAGAGCGTTTGCTGTCAGGGCCCCGAGGCTCTGGAACAGCCTGCCCGAGGAAATCAGGTCGGCTGAGTCAGTGAACTCTTTTAAGTCCCTTCTTAAAACATACTTTTATAGGAGAGCTTTTCCCGATCTTATTTGACTTTATTTTATCCCTTTTATTGTATTTTACTAATTTTATATTTATCTTAAACATGTATTTTAGTCTTTTAAATGTTTTCATGCTTTTATCTTGTATTGTTTTTGGATTATTGTCTCTTGGGTATTATTGTCTTTACACTTGTTAAAGCACTTTGTAACTTGTTTTTGAAAAGTGCTCTACAAATAAAGATTATTATTATTATTTTCACAATCTTTCTGGAGTATACAATTATGTATGTATGATTATGTATATAATTACTATCTTTATCTCAAGTGCTCATTCATACAGCAGCCTAACGTCCCTATCCATGAGTAAAATATTAATATCAGATTTGCATATATAGAAGTAATAAGCTTGATACACTATATGAATAAACACACTCTTATTAAAATTCAACCAATTTAATAATAATCTGGATCAAGCCACCAAGTTCTTAAAAGAACTCCAGCACAGAGAGGAACAGAGAAATATTAACACATTTGGCAGGTCTGGACGCAGAATGGGCGAAATCGTGAACTTATCAGTTCTGTTTCCTGTGCTGCCTGCTTACCACTGCCCTGTAGCCGAGCTGTCACATGACAAATGAACGACTCAAACAGACCCACAATTTAGAGTCGTGAACTAATCAATTCTGTTTCCTGTGCTGACTGAGCCCATGCAGCTGACGTATGACGAGTGAACGCATCTTTCACGTATGCGTGAAAATGAACGAATTACTCACTGAGACAACCCGAGTTTGGAGACAACACAACTTTAGAGACTAGAGAATTTTAGACAAGTATAATACATAACGCAATGAGCCGTTAAAATACATTTTCAAAACTAGAAACAAGTAAAAGATAATGTTACAGACAGAAACATATGTGAATTACTCGCTCTAGTTAAAAAAAAAATTCAGTGTGAACATTAATATAATGATAAATGCTATATTTAGTCATATTGGAAGAGGGATTGGGCAGTATTTATTTGCACATGATGGGGCCATTTTGAAACGAGGTAGAAACACAGAGTTTATTTTAAAACAAATGCAAAGGGTTTTAGTAACTGTGGAGGACTGGGCAGATAAATGGGGATTTAAAGTCTAAATTTATGATATTTGGCAGAGAAAGGTACCAGATTTTGGATTATGTATGTAAAGTTCCCCTTTAGAGAGAGTGAAAGTTAAAATTTTTGGGTGTCTGTTTTGACAAACGAATAACTTGGGCTGTTCTTGTTAGGAACATATTGTCAAAATGTGACAAGGTGTTAAATATAATGAAAGTCTGGCGGGATGTGACTGGGGGGGCAGAGAAGGTTTCCATGCATTTAGTATATCAGGCAACGGTAAGACCTCTAATTGATTATGGGTGCTTTGTTTATGGTTCTGCAGCCCAGTTGGTGTTAGAAGGAAGTTAGACACTCTGCAGGTTAAGACTCTGTTGTGGAGCTCCCAGGACATCTCCAATTCCTGCTCTGCTTATTGAAATGGGTGAAATGCCCTTATGTTTAAGGCATATTAAGTTGGGAATGCAGTATTGGGTCAAATTGAGTGAGTCTATGCAAGGATCGTTGGACTCTGGCAGAAACAAATCATTTTTTGGTTTGGTTTTCGGGTGTATATAGCTCAACTGGACCTTAGGATTAGCAAGAGAATTACAAACGGAAGTTCTGTATTTACAACAGAGCTACTGGCAATTCTTTGGGCTCTGTGGTGGATTGAGGACGTGAAAATAAGAAAATCTGCTCTGATTCTGCAGCTGCCCTGAAGGCCGTGAAAGGCGGTAAAGCAAAAGCCCGTCCTATAAGTGAAATTCTAGCTGTATTATTAAGAATTACAGAGATTGGTAGTAATGTGATGTTCTGCTGGGTCCCTGGGTATCCTTGAGTATGAATGAAGTAGCAGACTGTTTAGCAAAATCAAGTTATAAGTTAGAGACAGATATAATTATATCAATGGGAAGCGTGGAACTAAAAGAAAAAATTAAACCGAGTATTGAAAGGGAATGGCAAATATTGTGGGACAATGAGACCAAGGGGAGACATTACTACTTTTTGCAATCTGAGGTTAAAAAAGTCAGGCACTGTTATGGATCCAGAAGAGATTCTGTTAAAATCTGTAGGTTAAGACTCGCTTTGTGGGTTGAATAAGTCCTTATATGTCATTGGAAAGCATCTTAGTGGGAACTCTGAAACAGTGGAACATGTTTTGCTGAAATGTAACACATATAATATAGAAAGGAGCCTTTTATTCAAGAGATTATAACATTTGGGAGTTCTGTCATTCTCAGTTAAATCTATATTGGGTCAAAATGAAAACCACCACCTGATTATCAAAGTATTATTACAGTTCTTACACAATACAGGGTTAAAAAAAAAAAACGAAGCAATAACGTTTTCATTATAGTGACTTCCTGAGGAGGGCAGTGATACAAAGAAGGAAAACTTCCGGTGGCTAACATGCTAACTTTTCCTTTCGTTACCGTGAGATGCAGCCGGAGTTCAGCAGCAGAGCCTGCATGTGAGGATCAACGTGTTTAAGTGGACTCTGTTTAAACTTTCGGGATGTTTCACCTCAGACTCATCTCCTGTTAGCCAAGAATGCTAAAGGAAGTTAGCTTGTTAGCAGGAAGTAGCCGGAGCCGGAGCTCGGCCTCACAGTCGGAGCAGCTTCCATAGAGACCAAACTGTATTTTTCACGGAGCCCAAATGTCCAAATGTCCAGATAGAGCTGTCTGAATAGACTCTGTGCTGTTCCCTTTATCTGAACATGTTTAACATCTGAATTATCTCCCGCTGTCCTACGAAGCTAATGCAGTTAGCTTAGCTTGCTAGCTGGAAAAGCTGGAAAAGCTGCTGTGAATCAGTAAAAATGTCTAAAGTGGAGAACGAGGAGGAACTTTGTGGACAACGCAAACTACTGGACGCTGTTTTCAAGCCTGGAGCAGGTTTGTACTTCATTCTGTCCTCCCAAATGTTTCATCTTGCTGACAGCGCTGCGGGCTCGCTGTGAATTGACTCTGTTGTTGTTTAAAAGGAGATAATAAAACAAAGAAGTTTAGCTCCGTGGTAAAACAGTTAGATTAGATTCAACTTTATGGTCATTGCGCATGTCACTGGAACAAAGCAACGAAAGCAGATAGCAAGTGCAAGATATGAATGATATATAAATATATGTATTGAAACAAGACATTTTCTGAGCACAGCAACAACAATCAGGTGCAGGTAGACAGCAGGATAAGTCTGAAAAAAAAAAAGTCTCACACAGTGAAATTAAAAAACACTTACAGGTGTGCTAAGTAGACCCTGTGCAGGTCATGAGGCCAGCACAATCCATTTTTATCTTTCTCATATACATATATAAAATCAACATCTTATACAAAGTATTATAAACGGCAAGAATGTTGTAATTATCCAAACAGATCAAACAAACATCACAATATATATTAATTTAAAAAATGAAACATACATAAGTCGCAAGAATTACAACATTATAGGAACTCATAAGTATAAGGCAAAATGGGCTGACGCTCCTACCTCTATCGTATATCCCTAAAAGGGAGGGTAGGACATTCAGTATCTAAACTCAGAAATAGACATAATAATCAGCATTACAGGAATGGGCTCAAATCTAGTCTCTCATTCAGTCCACGAGGTTCAATTCATGAATCCAAAAAGCTTCCCTTCTCAAAAACTGGTTAATCAAGTTACCCCCTCTTGGATTAGGACTCAATCTTTTAATGCTAAATATATATACATGAATATCTATTGCTACAGGTAATGACTAAGGCAGTACAGTATGAATAACTAAACACTATGTACAGTAGTGCAAATGTGATTGGAAGTAACACAATATTACATTACTTATTGCATTAAAAGGAGATCACATAGAATAGCCTACATGTGTGAGAGTTCATAGCTAAAGTAGTTTTTGGGAACTGTTTTCCCCCCGTCAGAGTCATAAACTAATAAATGCTTTAAGTGCAGTTTATACTTCTGCGTCAAATCAACGGCAAAAGCTACGAGGCTACGCAGAGGCTACGGCGTCGCCTGAGGGGCATCTCCTCAAAAATGTAACTACACGTCGAGTCGACGCGAACCGTAAGCTCTGTGAGTAGTGGGGTGGTGATGGCGCAGTGGACCGGGGTTCAATTCCCCACTGTGACCCTGAGCAAGTCACTTAACCCCTCGTTGCTCCAGAGGCGTGCGACCTCTGACATTTACATTTACTCATTTGGCAGACGCTTTTATCCAAAGCGACTTACATTTGAGGAACAACATACAAGTATGAACAGAGCATCAACTACAGATCTACAACTGACAAAACATACTAGTAAGAGCTCACAGTACATATCACATCAATGGGGTAATACCGAGGGAAGGAAGTAAGAGTTAACAAAAAGTGCAATCAATACAAAATATTGTAGGAGATAGAAGAAGAAGAGCACAGGAAGTGCATGTTAGAGGTTAGGAGTTAGAGGTGTTATCAGAGGAAGAAGACGCCCCTGCTCTGATGGCGTGCGGTAGCTCGTTCCACCATCATGGTGTCACAGATGAGAACAGGGACTGGGATTGCTTTGTGTGAAGGGATGGCAGAGCCAGGCGGCGTTCGTTGGAGGAGCGTAGCGGCAGAGAAGGAACGTAAGTTTGTATTATGGAGTGTAGGTAGATGGTGCAGACCCAGTAGTCACTCTGTATGCAGCATTAGTGACTTGAATTTGATTCTGGAGGCCCCGGGGAGCCAGTGGAGGTCACTGAGTAATGGAGGGACATGAGTCCTTTTGGGCTGATCAAAAACCAGACGCGCTGCTGCGTTCTGAAACATTTGTAAGGGTTTCACTGCACAAGCTGGAAGACCTGCTAGGAGGGCAGAGAGATAACCACGGCCTGTACCAGAAGCATGTATAGCAATTGGAAGTCGCTTTGGATATGTTATGAATTGGTCGGCCTTGGT